CTGTTAAATATGTATATACTGTATAGAAGGTTTCATTTCCACAAGAAGCCAGTATTTTGTAAAGCTAACAGTTCTTTCTAGTTCAAGATCAAGCCACCACAAAATACTTTTGATTACAACCAGACCAGATTTAAAAAACAAACACATTTTCCTTGCAGCTACTGTGGGTGTTGCAGTTAAACTCAGAGGAAACAGAAGAGTGCAACAGGGTGGCAGTTGATGTCACAGTTCCTGCCAAGCAAAAAGTCCATGGCCACAGTATCACTACTTTCAGATTGCATGAAGGAAAGGTGGGATGTGTCTCATGCAGGGGGAAGGCTTGGGAATGGGAGACTCTATGCTGAGCTATATAGGGAGTGCCACTGAGCAGTGGACTGAGTCCCCAGTCTGACAGCTGCTTAACCCTGTTCCAACCATACTCGTAACATCATATGAATCAAGTCCAGTGCTCAGTTTAAATAAAAGAGGATCAGTTTTTTGCTTTACCTTCCATTCTCTGCTTTTCTTGTTAGTAATACATTCTACTTCAATTCAGTCAGAGGAGCATAAATATACATCCTGAAACAAAACCCAAGGGGGGGGGTCTCTCTTCCCCTTTGGATCAAACCTGGCTGCTGCTTTTCATCGTTCTTCTAATGAGAGATGCAAAGCCTCTGGACTGGATTTTGGCTGGTACTTCTTGTGAACTTCCTATCAGCAAGGCTGACACAATACCTCAGATTTAACACAGTTGGCCCTCTGTATCCATGGGTTCTTCATCCATTGACTCTGCAATCCACCATTTGAAAATACTCAAAACATTATCAATTCCAAAAAGCAAACCTTGATTTTGCCATTTTATATAAGGGATACCATTTTACTAGGCCATTGTATGTAATGGACTTCAGCATCCATGGATTGTCTTATCCATGGGGGGTCCTCAAACCAAACCTCAGCAAATACCAAGGACCCACTGTATGTAATAAAGAATGGCAATTTGATAATCATTTAACTGATTATTACCATATTTTTACTTCAGGGAGGAGCAAATGCTCTTGTGGGTTTTCATTTTGCCTCAGGTTTTGAAATAAATAGGTTGTCCCTTGGCTATTTTGGTTTTTTCTTGGATGCTGTCAACGTGTACAACTCTACCAGGATACTTATACCAGTCTGCAGGGCAAAGGCTGCTCTTCTTCCCATGGTTGCACAATGACAATCAAACCAAAGTGGGGTGTTACTCAGTGGTTGTTTGAATAAGGTATTGGGTCCTGCCATTGTGCAATCAAGGGAAGAATATTGCAAAATAGATATTGGGTTCCTCTTTGCACAAAGTGCAAGAAAATAAGAGCACTGGCATTACTCCCAGTCACCAAGAGGATTCTGGACCGTAGTTTCTTAATTTGAGAAGGGGACACATATACTTTATTGTGCTATCTCAGGCAACAACATTCCTTGGGCTGATTCTGCTGCCTACAGTTTAAGAAATGTCAGCATGACCTGTGGTTAGGGCAGTAATTCAGATGGACATTAAATTTCCTTGACTTTGAAAATCTTCCAGTGACCGCATGGCCAAAGAGGGAGATGCCAGCCTGCAGATAGCCCTCCCTACCATCTGAAATAAGACCAGAAACAGAAAATGCAGGCCCATGACTAACATCTTCATTTTTTCCCTCCTGTTTGCCTGATGGAGAAGCCAGTGTGACTTCAAAAGCTTGCAACATGTAATTGTGCATTTTGGTTGGTCCAATAAAGGTATCATTGTTTGGATGTTATTGGATTTCTTACATGGGCAACACGGCTACACCTAGATGTGATTTGAGGAAGGAACAGTTCAGAATGACTTTGTTGTTTGTTGTTGTATGCTTTTTCCAACTTAAGGTGACCCTAAGGCAAATACATCACAAGGTTTTCTTGGCCATAATTGTTCAGAAGGGTTTTGCCTTTGCCTTTCTCTGAGGTTGAGAAAGTGTGGCTTGTTCAAGGTCACCCAGTGGGTTTCCATGCCTGAGCAGGGATTTGAATTCTGGTTTCCAAAGTCATAGTTAACATACTGTAGCCTGCCTCGATCCTTGAGGAGAGGTGGAACTGGGTATCTCTCAGTGAAGACCACAGAAGAGGAGACCTGGCTCATTTTAATTTTGGACTGCAACTCTAAGAATCTCCCAGCACTGGCTGGGGAATTTTGGGACTTTCAGCCATGCCATGCCCCCCAAAGTTTCCCAAGTATTGTTGTATACCAACACACCCTGAACAAGGTCACTCAGAGACAATAATTTTGTGCCCTTCTGAGAGCTCACTGACAGATCATCAAGGCACATGGCTTACATGCAGCAGGTCCCAGTTTTGATTCCCAGCATCTCCATTTTAAATGAATCACAGAGACCTCTAGGTTATGGGAAAGCCCAAGCCAGTTAAAGTAGATAAATATGGACCAAGCTCTGATTCAATATTATGTCACTTTGGATGTTCAGGAGTGATTTGATGAGCAATTTGGAGGAGGGTGGTGGCGGAAGGACTATAATCATTGGGGTATACAGCAGCACAATACATTACTGAACTGAATAAATAGCATTATTAAAAACAAAATGTTTTGTGCCAATTCAGATCTCCAAATTATTTACACAAACGATAATCTCACAACTGCAAAAAAAAAAAAAAGATTAAAACTAGAAAATGTCAGTGGTATTTTTGCATATAGCTTTAAAATTCAGAGTAATGAAGTCAGAGAGATGGAGGGTAGGGAACCAGCCCTCTGAAACCATAATTGAAGTTGGACGGTTTGTTGATTAGCATCCCATGGGAATGAGATAAAAATTTGAGCACTCCTAAGAATCCCTTTGGGTAACATTGCTGTGAAGAAATCCTGACCTCAGTCGTATAATTTCATTCTCATAAATCTTTATCTGTAGGAAATACCTAAGTTAGAAATTGGGTTGTGGACATATAATTACTTTGCCATTGAGAACAGAATCGTCTGACTTTCACAAGGGGGAAAAAGACTTTGAAATAGAAGACTCTAGATTCAAAGCAGATCTTTTCTCACTGTGAATTAATTCATAATTTACTAGTAATATTTGAAAATATGAGCCATTAACAGAACATAATGAGTATGCCGCTTATCCAAAAATATCCTGAAATTAACACTAGCCTAGGTAGTGCTAGCCTGGAAGATATTTAAAACACTGTATGGTTCTGAATATACATTCTGTTTCATAAATTATTTCCCTGATAGAGTACACAGTAATTTCTGAAGAATCTACATAATCAGTTTGTGAGATTTTGCTTTTAAGGGCAAATTTCAATATTTCTTTGGATGTTTCTGGCAGCCAAGGCAGGGCAGAAGATAGATGTCCAAATGTTTTGGACTTCCATCCCCACCAGCTTCTGCAAGCATGACCAATGATAATGGATTAAGGTTACTGAAGGACATCTGGAGGCCTGCCTTTGCCCACCCATGGCTTAAGAGGTCCATGATTTTTCTCTCCACAATGTTAATTCTCTCCTTGATTTAGTTTACAGTTCCTCCAGTTCTTCTCACTCATTTCTGCACAATAAAAGGTTAGAATAATCCTAACAAATTACAAATTCTGAACTTACAGTCCACACAACAAGCAAGAATGAAATATGAGGGCTGTTTCCTTTATAGTATTTAACTTTACTGCTCAGGTTTTTAAAACATATAAAATCCCACATGCCTCCTGTAAGTATAAAGTCCTATGGCCAGATAAATTGTCCATACTGGGGATTTCCAGTTTTATTTATAGCATAATGCTATGCCAGTTTACCCAAAAATAAACCCAACTGTGTTCAGTGTAGCTTACTCCCTAGAAAGTATGTTTAGGACTCTAGATTAATTCTACAAAGGCATTCTGGGCTCAAATTTTAGAGGAATCCAGGGAAGCCTTGGTGAAATTTGCAGAATTCACATTCAGCTTGGTGCTGGTATGCAGATTATTTTCAATGTTTCACTTGCAACACTGATATGGTTTTGAAATTATATGTAGTCCCCCTGATTCTTATTAGGATTCCACCTTGTGCAGAAGAGATTTTAAGTCATTCCATGCCACCACCTGCCCCAATGCAAATAGCAACAGGAAAAATGAAGCATACCCTCCAACTGCTCTGATTTGACAGAAATGGCCCAATTAATTCTCTGACATCCCATCTTTTTCAACTGCTTTTAAAATGTCCAGTCTTCTTCTCCTCCCACTTTCCCTCTTTATATTCAAACTTACTTTTATTGGTGCAAACTGATTTCAAAGTGCAAGAGTAGTTTGCATTCAATTAACTTGGTGGGGCAAGGGAGAGAAGACGAGAGTGTGGAGTCTTGTCTTTCCCAGTTGTAGTTGTGTGCCTTCAAGTTGTTTTGGATTTATAGCGACCCTAAGGGTTTTCTGGCAAATTTCTTCAGAGGGGATTTGCCTTTGCCTCTTTCTGAGGCTGAGAGTGTCAGACCATGTGTATGATTCTGTCATGATGTGTTATGATATGATGATATGGATAGTATAACAATATAGCACTGTGATAATCTGATGAGATATTGCGGGGATTGATATGGAGAATGTTGAAATGCATTGACTATTAAACAGTTGGGGGTTATGGACATGAGAACGAACAGGGAGGCAAATGGCGACAGAATGCACGTTTATGATTTTATGACCCTGCTTTTCCTGTATGAAGATCTGGCTTCCATCAGAGAGGTGCCTTCCTCTCCTCCTGAAGGAGGAATATATGATAAACACAGGAGGGAGAAAAGAGGACATGAAAGGTTGCTTTGACTGGGATCAAATGGGTCCAAGGAAGGGAGGGGTTTGGATAACTGGTATTCTTATGGTAGGCTCCTGGGGAAGAACCCCAATTCTGACACAGACCTCGGACGGATGACTGCTGTCTCAGTTCCTGAATAAATATATTTTTGTTTTTTCTACCACAACGAGATGTTTTCATGGTTATTGGGAACTGAGTTGGCTGATCCTGACAGGGAGCATGTGACTTGCCCAAGACCATCCAGTGGGTATCCATGCTCAAGCCAGGATTTGAACCTTGGTCTCCAGAGTCATAGTCCAGCATACAAACCACTACACCATGCTGGCTCTCTCAGTCTTCCTTAGTCTTTCCCAGTAGACTCAGGCAAAAGCAAACTGCTGCAGCTACTCTTGGTTTGTGTCTTCTTCCTCATTAATAACCTTTGTCATCTTGTCCACACTTGCTTGATCTCACATGTCTCAGTTTACATCTGTGAAAGGTTGGATGGTATGAGGCAGCAGCTCCCATCGATGCCAGTGTGATTTTTTTTTCCCCTCATGGTATTTGCAGCCTAGTGGGAGCAATTTTTGAAGGAAATGGAAGTGAAATCTTCCTTTAGTCAACATGGCAGGTTTGATTTAATCATCATCATTATCATCAAGGCCCACCGTGTTTATTATTGATTTTAACATTTTGACTGACCTTGGTTGAGAGAATATATCCCATCTCACTTAAAACCTGAGCAGCATTTTATATCACACTTGCTGTGGATCAGCAGAGCTGATCAGTTAAAATCAGAACCAAAGAAGTTCATCCCTGATCAAAATTTGGAATCTGTGATAGAGTAAAAAAAGGAAGGTTGTACACAAATATGTTTTCCTGGGAATATAATAATAATAATAATAATAATAATAATAATAATAATAATAATAAGAAGAAGAAGAAGAAGAAGAAGAAGAAGAAGAAGAAGAAGTCCATTTTAGCATAGGTTATTAATTAATTCTTGATGTGAAGTATGGGGTTACAGGTCATAGTACTCTGTGTAGTCATTTGAAATTATCTATGTAAATGAACAAGGACACACACACACACACACACACTTAATTCACCAATTGCAGGGTGATTTGGGAAATTAGTGAAGTGTTTTGGGGATGTCAAAAATCTTCATGATTTTAATAAATTTCTTGTTGTGTGTCTTTAAGTCATTCCCAACTTATGGAAACCCGAAGGCAAACCTATCATGGGGCTTTCTTGGCAAGATTTGTTCTGAGATCATATGCCTTTGCCTTCCTCTGAAGCTGAGAGAGTGTGACTTGCCCAAGGTCACCTAGTGAGTTTTCACAGCTGAGTGGGAATTCAAACCCTTGTCTCTAGGGTTGTAGTTCAACACCATGCTGTCTTTATAATAGGTTGATAGACAAAGCATATATTCTTAGAATTCATGGAATTGTTATTTAGTGTGGAATTCTATTTGTAGCAAAATGGAGGACTTGAGTCAAGTGTGTGTGTGTTGGAGGGATCTGTAGGAAAAAAGGTATTTAAAAGAGGTAATGAAAAGGTTATGGTTGGTATGAGGCAACAGCTCCCATCAATGCCAATGTGATTTTTTTTTCCCCTCTTGGTATTTGCAGCTTGTAGATTACATTTATGAACATTCTGGTTTGGATTCTACTGCCACTGCTACATCTATGGCCAGGGAAAGGAATGGCACACCCCTCCGAGTACAGTTGTACTGCATCTCCCAGTGTTCTTAACTACTGGCTATGTTGGCCAGGATTAATGGGACATTCAGTCCTACAACATCTGGAAGACCACATAATTCCCATTCCTAGAACTTTCCATAGGGGTCAGGAAGGGAGTCACCAGGGCAAAAGTGTCATCTTACCAGTGGAATGATGTTTTTAATCACATTTCAGTGACCCTTCTCTGGCCTTGGATGGTTTGAAGATCATTCTGTTATTTTCTGTCTTGCAATCCGTTTGTTTTTTAAATCTCATTTGCAAGAGATATTGAAAAGAAGTACTTTTTTAAAAAACACACAAAAGAAGCATAACAAAAAACACAGTGCACTTAATTCCAATCAATGTTTTCTAACATCACAACACTGCCAACTGCACTTGGTGTTTACACAGTTTAGGACATAATAAACATTTCATTTATTACATTTCCTCTGAGGCTTCTGCTACTGGCAACTGAAGAAATTGGTAGCAACTTTGACTTGGTTTCCAGAACCATGGTGCCATCCAGTGGTGACAATTAGTAATGTTTTTATCTAGTTATATCAATATTTATTTTTTTAAAAATATAAAGCACCAGACAGACAGACAGTACATAGAAATAAAGAAAGCACAGAATTTTCAGTCAGTGGTTTTACCTGTCTAACTATCCATGGGATCAGCCTGTTAAAAATCCAAGGATTTAAAAATCCTGGGATTTGTAGTTTTGTGAGGCACTAGCATTCTTTGGCAGAGAAGGGCAAAGACCTTGTAAAACTATAAATCCCAGGATTATATAGGATGGAGCTATAGCGGTGGTGTCAAACAGCATTCTTTCTAAATTGCAGATTAATCATTAGACAGGGGAGGGGTAGGATAGGGAATCAAATGAACTACAGAGATGTACTTACTAGCTTCCTATGTATTAAAAAGTGTCTTGTTTTGTCATATCTCTGTAGATACGGCATAGGAAGGACTCCTTGACAAGAATCCTGAAATATGATGCTAAAGCAGAAAAGGAGATTTATCTGTTTCTGGTCCATGTCAGCTACATAGTTATTCATTCACAGATCCATTCCAACCTGATTTTTCATTAAATTGCCTTTTTAAAAAATCCACCAAAACAATGATATTTAATTGCACTTTTTTTGAACATCCTTTACTTTTAAAAACCTTTTTTTTAATTTATTCTTATTAAGTAATTAACTTCTGTCAATCAATTTCTGAAACATAAGCATCTGAAATAGATTTTCATGTTGTTGGCTTAAGCTACATTGCAAAATTCAAAGTTGTGCAAAATCTGAAGGATAATTATTTTCTGATCTGCCAATTAGTCAGATCAGGTCAATTCTCATCTGAATTATCCAAGATGAGTGGAGGCAATCACAGAGGACAAGCCAGAAGGTAAAGCGGGAGAACAAGAACAAGATTCCATAGGGTGAGCTACAGCATTTAAAGTGGTATCAAACTACATTGTTATCTGCTGGGTTTTGATTCCAGTGTCCACCCGCCCATCTTCCCACCCTATGGATACCAAAATCCCATTAAATACAATGGATAGTAAAATGGTGCTAAAATGCCAAAAAATCAAGCTTCACTTTTTGGAATATATATATATATATATATATATATATATATATATATATATATATCCATGTCATGGATGATTTATTCTGTGGATAAAGAATCTGCTGATAAGGAGGGCCAACTGTATTTCTACAGTGTGGATGCTCCACAAGGCATTTTGCTGTGTGTAGTAGTACTGCAAATGGCACACATAACCCCCACTTATCCACCCAACACATGGTTCACATTACCAAATCCAGCCATTATTTTTTTAAAAAAAAAAAATTGGCACATAAGGCAGAAACAATGTTATCTGGTCTTGGCAACAAAAAACCAATGCCCTGACTCCTATTGTTACTCTCAAGTACAACAGACCTATCCAATCAGTGGGATTTATGTGTACCCTCACTACTTTACAGTTGATTCATTCATTCTACTCTAGTTTGGACTAACCAAGATAATTTAGATCGATGATAACACAAGTATCTATCCACTTCCTGCCCTTCCATGACATCTCAAATTTGCTCCTCGAGGAGCTGCCTTCTCCCTGATGGTAAGGGCAGCCCTGCGCCAGAGCTCTGATAGACTTTGTACTTCAAATAAAATTCAATTGAGGTAGTAAACCCTCATTCAATTGAGATAGTAAACCAGGAGTAGGCAACCTTTCCACTTTAAGGGCCAAGGGACTTCAGCTCCCAGAATCCCAGGAGCTATTGGCCAACATGGGACTATTGACCAACATGGCTGAGGCTTCTGGGAGCTGAAGTCTCTCGGCCCTTAAAGGGGAAAGGTTGCCTACCCCTGTAGTAAACCCTCCTACCCAGGAGAAACCAATGGCCAAACTAGGTAGGGTTAGTCTAGACCTCACCCAAGTTCTTCACACAGAAGTTGCAATGACAATTTACTATGAGGACTTCTTCAGGCAGCTCCTAATCCTGAAACCAGCCTGGTTGCATCCCCCAAAGAAGACCTTGCACTGAAGATCTTAATGTACAGATAGAGATATTATTGTATTCCAGTATTCAGTCAGGGCTGCATTCTATAACCCCATCTGTTCAACTTGTATGCAGAAAATACCATGTCAGGGCTAAAGATCTAAGTTTCACTATTTCAGACTGACTGTGGCAGCCAGTCTGAGAATTGTATTTTGCGCAGTTGCTTTTAACTATTTCAGCTAATCAATATTTACAGTTTTAATGTATGGTTATTTATTGATGATGATGTTTTGTGCCTTCAAGTTGTTTTCAAATTGTGGCAACCCTAAACTGAACCTATCACAGGGTTTTCTTGGCATATTTCTTCAGAGGGGGTTTGCCATTGCAATCCTTTGAGGCTGAGAGAATGTGACTTGCCCAGGGTCACCCACTTGGTTTACACGGCCAAGCTGAGATTCGAAGCCTGGTCTCCAGAGTCCTAGTCCAAAGCTCAATTTCTATTTTTATTATTAACTTGCTTTATTTACTTGTCTTATTTACTTGTACATTGCTTTGAGATAATGGAGTTTATCACACTGCTAAAAGCAGCTTACCTCTCCCGAATTGAATTCTAATTTGGGGGACAGATGGGTTGTATTGTACGAGTTTTGCCACCTCTGCCTGACTTTGAAAAGCAGCTTGCTGAGCATTCCTGGGACCCTGAATGAAGCCTGGCTGTATTCGGCCGGAGGATTTGGTGGCAAAACTCATGCAATAAGACCCCGCTGCCTCCTGAATTAGAATTCAACTTGGGAGAGGTAAGCGAGGGTTTTTAGCAGTGTAATAAGCTCCATTGTTTGGAAACCAGCACAGAAAGTGACTAAACAAACAAAAAAATAACATAATAATAGTGAACTCATTTATTGAGTGATGATAGGAGAGGATCCAAAAGGTAAGCGTCCATGTGATAATCTTCAATGCCATTGAGAAACAGTGTTGGTGTGCTGGGTGATCTGCATAAATACAAAAATATTTCTGACAGGCTAAGAGCACCCCTGTCCAGCACTCCACAATAAGGATTAAACACACTCAATAGTCACAAAATGCTGAGTATTATTTACAGAAACAAACAAAAAACCAAGGAGCTGGAGG